TTTCCTTGCCCTAGCTAGGGTCGGCCTGTCCTTCCGTTCCTGCACACTTAATCCCCTCACTAGATAATTAGGATCAGCTAGAAGATAAGTACGCAAACATGGATCAGTTTCCCCTTCTTCCTAGTGGCTCCAAGGCCAACACCTCCACACCCTTGTACCTCACCTTAGACAACACAACCTCGGGGCCATCCACCTCACCAGTGCCGGAGCCGGAGCCGGAGCCAGCGCCGGCGCCGCCTGAACCTTCCAGACACTCCTATCATGACAGGGGAACGGATACAGTCAAAGCAAAGATCATGTCGCACCCTCTCTATCCTGCTCTCCTGACAGCCTTCATAGAGTGCCAGAAGGTACGTACGTCCCGGCCTCCTGGGTTAATTCTACGAACGCATGTAATATTGCAACTAATGGTTCGTGGAATTAATCACAAAATCACCAGCAAGATCCTTCTTATTCTCTAGCTTTCTGTGTTCAAAATTCCTGTGTTCATCTCTGTACCTGTGCAAATTAGTGCTCCTTTAATTTATTTTGCCTAATCTAAGGTGGGAGCCCCGCCGGAGATTGTCGGTCGGTTATCCGCCCTCGCCGGCAACCTCGATTCAGATCCTGGCGACCGGCACCAAGACCCGGTGCCGGACCCAGAACTTGATGAGTTCATGGTAATCTAACTCTCCAATGGCTAGCTATAAGTATCTTAACGATCTAACTTCCATGGAGGCTAGCTATAATTTTCTGTATGGCCTCATTGATCTGTGTGACTCAGAATCTACATGTTTAGCAGATGTAGCTACAGAATTCTATGAGATGAATAGTATGCCTGCACACCATCGACATATATATGTATGGTTTACAGATGAGTATGTTTACTTTCTCCATGCACAGGAGACCTACTGCGATGTGCTGGTCAGGTACAAGCAGGAGCTCACAAGACCAATCCAAGAAGCCGACCAGTTCTTCAGGGCCATGGAGGCGCAGATGGAGTCGTTTACGCTAGGTATATGCGCATTTGTTACAACTACTAGTATTTGCTTCTCAGATTCAGAAATTGGGAACGGCAGTGCTGACTATTGCAGAGCAGGGACCCTAGTACACGATCGTTTGTCAATATACAGAGCAAATGCAAACAACCATGCATGTGGCTGTGAGTTGTTCCTGTGCATCTGATTTAACATATCCCGCAAAAAAAAAATCTAATTTAACAAGTCTAAGTAGCGCACGCGTCTTTGCTTTACAGTGTTGTGCTCTTGTTTTCCTGTAGAGAGAGGAGGTGTGTGCGTGCATTAATTTTGCTGCCACCATAATCATTATAAACTATTACTAGGATTCAGATGTATTTATTATCACACAAACTATTAATCTGATCAGTGATATGTCTTCCTCGTTGAGTTCATCTCGATTTGAGGACTTCAAGTTGCCATGTTAGCATCAAACAGTTACCACATAGTATTATACCTGGTTTACAAGAAAATAATTTATATGTCTAGGCATTGCAATGTGATGCAGAGCTAGAGTGAGTATTCAAGTTTCAGCAAGTAATAGGTGATATCAGCTACTAATTAATTAACTGGGTAACCAAATTTTTATAACATGGTAACCAAGTGGTTGTAATCCACCTATAACCAGCAAGTGAGTCACTCGAACCTAATAATTGCTCATAAAATAAGTTGTCTAATTAAACATCTCAACATGGGTTCTAGTTTTCAAGATCTTGTCGCACCAAAGCCAATAGGAAAAATGGATAGTCATTTGGATGCATAGATTGAGAGATAAAGGTTTTTGAAATTCAAAACCAAAAGAATCTCGCTGATACCATGCTTTCATGCATTAGTCTCTTTTGGTGTATGCATGCATATACATGTGTGCGTGCATGTGAGGAAAAGAGAGTGGTGGTGTCGAATTTAACAAATTTGATAATGGAGTGGAACCATGTGGACACCTCGACTTAGTATAAGCCACAGAACAAACCCACCATCCCTCTTCTCTGTATGCATGACATGTCACGCATCTTCATCCCTTTATTGTGCCTCCTCCCTGCCTTGCTTCCACCAGCATCATCCATTGCATTCTTCTTCTACCTACCTCTCTAGTATTGACTTGTCGTCACTCCCTCCTCCCTCTACCACCACCACCTCATCCTGCTTAGGTGGCACGACAATCTTACATTTCCACCATTAGCAATGTCAGGTAGGTTCACATCCACCCCAACCAGTCCATCATTTAGGCCTAGTGGAGAGCTCATTGCATGTCATGTTCCAATCATAATTGCCTTTGTGGCCTCCTTGTT